TTCAAGTACCAACAAAAAGGACACAAGGAAAAGGTGAGTTATCAATGTGGGCTTGCAGATACAAAGAGTGGTCAATTATGAAGTTCGACCTTAAGACATATGTGTTTTATTCACAGGTACCATGTTTAGTTGGCGAAGCGAATAGTGGAAAGACTAGTCTTTTTGCGCCAGTGTTTGGAGTCATCCCAATTTCACGTATTGCACGAGTTACAAAGCAAAAGTCCTTCAACAAAGCCATGATTGACGAGCAAACACAGATAATTTTCATTGCCGAGGCAACTGTGAATACAATGGACATCGACGACTGGAAGCTTTTGACTCAGGGAGGGCTGGACGGCGCACGATCGCAAATTTTGGACAGCCCGAGGGTTTGAAAACAAGTATCCCATGCTGATAACCAGCCAAGAGAAGCTAAGATTTCCTAAAGAGGACCAGGCCGCCATGAATGCGCGTCTTAACGTGTACAAATTCAAAAGTTTGCCCAAGAAAGATCCCAAAGCATTTGAATGGCTAAAGACTCACCCAGTGGAATGCATTGTTTGGGCGATGGACAAGGCATCAGGCACCAGSTGAGAGTAACAATAGATCTGAACAGGGTGTAGGGCTGCGAATCGTGAAAGAAACAAATAATGACAACTCATAGTTTGTACTCTTTATTTCAAGAAGGCAGTGTTGCGTTGACCCTCGAAGAGTAAGAAGAGCTGTGTTTTTTCCAACTGGAGCAAAACTCAGATGAAGAGCCTGGCTCACTTCCACTACAAGAACACACTGTAACCAGTCCCCATGATGAAAGCCAAATGAGCACCGCAGAGAGACGAGAGCAGCAAGTCACCAGAGAAAAAGCCCTATACGATCCCGGATGTTTTCGCGGACGATTGCTCGAAAAACTAGCAGACCGTTGTCACCATGAAGTGAACAAGCAGAACGTAGCCAAGAAAAGAATGTTGGATTCTCGACGTTCTGAACTTGTGCAGCGGGGGGTAATGAGCGAGTCTGAAGCCCTTCAAGACCCATATCACGCGCTTCCAGAGAACTTACAAAGGAGATTCATGGATGTAGTTCAACGAGAAATTACATCAAAGAGACAGAAGGCTCACGAAGAGAAGGTCGGGCACGCAGAGAAGACGTTCCAAAACCCATGGAACTACAAAAAGAGAAAGAGATGAGTGACCTTGTGACAAGAGCTGACAAAATCCGCGATGAGGGGATGAAGTCCACGTTGGAAAGACTATTGAAAATAACAGAAAACAAGCTTAAAATGTTTCACGAAAAAAATGGTACCAGTCACACGATCGCCGTTGAGGAAAGAAAGAAGGTTTGTCTTGAAATGGGACTTCTGTCGAGGGATCAGCTTTCAGAGATAGAGAACGTGTACCNCCTTTCCCACAAATGCACGCACCTTTGGGTCCAAGAAAGTGACGGAAGTAACCCCAGAGAAAAGGTACCAATGCTCAGACTCCTCTTGCTCAGAAGAATTCAAAACTCATTCTGAACTTGAACTACACTTGAATATGTATGGTCATCGCATATTCTCTCATCCAGTAAAAGAAAGCATGTACGACCAGATAAAGAAAGACTGGGTGCATCGCTTCGAAGTGCTTACATTAGATGATAGAAAATCATTGGGTGTCGAAGGTATTGCAGACAGRGAGAAAACAAGTCATCCATCGCTAAACATGGGCTGGGCACTTCACAAGAAAGGAATATGTAAAAGATTSCCAGCAAAGGTTCGCCAGTACTTGATAATGAAGTTTAATATTGGCCAACAAACTGGGAGGAAAGAAGATCCAGCGCAAGTGGCAAAGGACATGAGGACAGCCTCATCGGTGGAAGGAGAAAGAATGTTTAGTAGGACAGAATGGYTAACTAAATCACAGATACAAGGCTTCTTTTCAAGATTRTCCAAGAAAATAAAAGAGGGTCAGGTTTTATCAGAAGGTGATGTTGAAAGTGAGTCTGAGAAGACGGGCGATGAAGACGATATGGAGGAATACGCTTGTGAAAAAGATGAAGAAAATCTGAACGACATTAGGCAAGCTGTACTGGACAAGATAGAAGTGTCCCATCCAATCACATTTGATGTTTACAACCTCTGCACAATGGCAAAAGACAATAAAGTCTCCACATTCAAAGTTAAGATGCTTAAAGAGATTTGCAGCCACTTYGAGCTAACATTCCAATCAAGGGACAACAAAGCTGATCTTGTGGCAAAGATTCAAGAAATGCTTGATGGGTGCAGTTGCAACACCGCGCGCCAAAAGTAAAACGATATTGATCTAGTGAACAGCAGATAAGACAAACGAAAATAAACACTAAAGTGACACTAAATAGGCAATGAGCATGTCGTATGACATTCTTCTATTGATTAGGTTACATATATTTTAACATACCTCAGTAGTGCCTAATAGATTAAGTTAAAATTATGCTAATTCAMCTGTCAATGCTAGGCCCAAGGGGGCTTGACATTTTGGACTACCTTTAGCATCCCGGCATCCCTACCCCTAGGATGGCTGCTGATGTGAAATACCACAACTCCAAGAGCTAAGTTGATCCAGCTTCAAACATTTCAGACTGTGTCAAATACCCCCACCCCAGAAAACGTATGTTAATTATGTCAAATTCCCTGCCAAGGAAAATGCACAAATGTCAAATCCCCCTGGTATACCCGAGACCCTCCTCGGGCTAAAAACTAACAAGTGCATAAGATCATGATCACTATATACTGAATAGCAATAGATTCGGCTTGAAAAATATATCAGATAGATATTTCTTTTGCAAATATGAAATGCTTGCCTTATCTCCGTAGCGATTTTGGTACCGTCTAAATGGTGCTTCGCTTCGACTTAAAAAGTGATACTTGAGTTGAGAGGATTTTGTACAGTTTGAAGTACAATAAGAAAAGGCAATATATTGGTAATCGGTATTAAAATTTCTGAGCCGATGGTAGAAAAAGATAATGATTTAGCTTCAAACACACAATTTGCTTTTTTACCAGGACCGGGAATCTCCAGTATAGATATGAATATGAAGGTCGTGGGTTCGAATCCCAGCGAGGTCGGAAATTAATTTTTCCGAATTTATTCCTAAAGGAACTTCTCCCGGAATTGCCTCCTTCTAAGCACTATAACTTTCTTTCATTTCTATATCATGTTTATCATAGTGCCATGCGGTCTTCATATTCATATCTTTACATTATTCTATTACCGCAACCTTAACATCTATTTCACCCCGACCTGCTCCCAGTCTGGCCTTGTAGCTCAGCTGGTAGAGCATCGGTGTACAAATCCGAAGGTCGTGGGTTCGAATCCCAGCGAGGTCGGAAATTAATTTTTCCGAATTTATTCCTAAGGGACTTCTCCCGGAATTGCCTCCTTCTAAGCACTATAACTTTCTTTCATTTCTATATCATGTTTATCATAGTGCCATGCGGTCTTCATATTCATATCTTTACATTATTCTATTACCGCAACCTTAACATCTATTTCACCCCGACCTGCTCCCAGTCTGGCCTTGTAGCTCAGCTGGTAGAGCATCGGTGTACAAATCCGAAGGTCGTGGGTTCGAATCCCAGCGAGGTCGGAAATTAATTTTTCCGAATTTATTCCNAGAAAGTTTATTGCATTCGCTTTCTTCAACCCGAGGAAACTACATCGAGGAAGCAAGTAAGGAAAGTTAACGTTGCTGTGAAGTCTGTCCCAATTTCACCATCCAAAGCAGTGCAATCAACTAGTAAGCTTACTGGAAATAATCCGAGACCAACCGTTTACCCTAAGTCATTGTCAGTAGGCGACCTTCTGAAAGCTGGAAAACTGGTCAAACCACCACAAGTAGCTACATTGAAGTTATAATGCTTTGATGTTGAGAAATGCAAGTGGCAAGAGATCCCAAGTATTAAGGTTGAAATCGAGAATCGAGAAAGATTCCTTTGCCAGTGGCGCCTTTCGAGACGCATATAGAGCAAAATCAATCGTCGGAGAACAACAATGGGTAGTGAAAAAGTACTCCGAACATTTCAAACTATTACCAAGAAACTCAATATGACTTTGGAAAACCACACGCGCAAACAAGTACAAATGCATGCTGTTGCACGAAATATCACCSCACGCTTTGCTACAAAAGTTCCCGTGGAATTTGGTGAAGTATTTAAGTACAGAAAGGTTTTTTGTTCTATGTATGAAGATTGCCCAATCACAGTGGAAGAGTTCGTCGATGGTGATTTCATGAAGTATGTCAATAACGATGGAAACTGTATTGATCCTCCGAGCGAAGAATATGATGACATTTTTGCAAAAGCTCAATGTCTCACTCACTTCAGTTATCTCTATTCAAAGAAAAAATTGATGCTTGTGGATATTCAAGGATCAAAGTACGAACTATACGATCCAGAATTGGCCACCACCGACCTACACGAAGACGGCGAAACTAGCGAGTTGTTTTTTTGTGCTGGGAATCTTTCCTTCATGGGCATAGACAATTTTAAAGACGTTCACAAGTGTAATAAGTTCTGTGAAATGCTTGAACTTGAAGCCCTTTGAATACGTGCATGCTCCATTGTAATTGCAAAAAAGTCGAAATACTGAGCTCCTTTCCTCCAGGCGCCCAAGAAAAACTTTGTACATGTTCATATTCAAACAATATTAGATTAATCTACAGTATTTCAGTTTGTGTTTTATAATACACCT